TATGAGTGCGCCGACTTTCCCTTGGGGTTCCAGTGTAAGTGCGTTGATTCATCCAAGTGTCAACCTGACAAACCGGGCTGCGAAGATCAATCCTGCATAATAGGTATCTTCCACGAAATCGTACCTTTTTTCGTAAGATTAATTTCATTAAAACAGATATTTATAGCAAAACTCAAGCAAAGTCGAAAGAGACATTACAAAGAGAGCATTTAGTGATGCATTCGTTGTTTTTTTTTTACAGGTAATAATGCCATATCGTTTGGAGGTGATAGTTACATCCGCTATAAATTGAAGCAGTCATTCGATGAACCAAGCCGCTCTATTAGTCTTGCTCTTAAGACCACTGAACCTCGAGGAACACTAGTGTGGGCCGCTGGACAGTATGACTACAGTATTCTAGAGGTATGTCTTATGTGTGCTCATTAATTATATATGAACATGTCACGTTTGTCTAGAGAAAGAAATCTTTCAGAAGCAAAGGTTTCTAAATCCAACATGGGTTTGAAAAGTGTAATCTAATCGATTATATCCGTGATCTTTGTTTTTACAGATTGTGAACGGCCGTCTTCAGTTACGCTTTGATTTTGGCAGTGGGGCCGGGGTTGTAAACTTAGACTGGGCCCGAGTGGACGATGGTAAATGGCATCACGTGGCAATCATGCGGCAAGGTAACCACGCCACTTTAATTCTGGATCAGGGTCGTCACCGCGCCTGGAACAAATCTCCTGGGAAGATGAGAATACTGAATCTTGATGATAACGCGATTTACTTCGGCGCCAAAGTTGTTAAATCAAAGAGTAGGAGGGATCTCAACAATCGAGGTGAGAAGAATTGTTTACAGCTAGAAGTGCATGCTGCCCAGCAGCATAATTGATTCATATTACTTTCAACTTTGTAACCAGGTGTTACTGTTTTCGTTCGACAGAACTTAGATATGAAATTGTGTCACTTGGAACTAACTTAAATTTTAATAATGATGATGATAATAACAATAATAATAATATTGACCATAATAACAATAATAATAATAACAATAATAATAATAATAATAATAATAATAATAATAATACTAGGATTTAGCAGTGGACGTTCCCCAAAGTGGCTCTTCTTTTCTTCTTCTTCTTCTCGTCCACTGTACGCATGTAAGTAAGTTGAAGTCACGTGCTTCCACGTCACTTACGCACCCTCCGAGGAAAATTACCGCATTCTGAAGTGAAGGATTTGAGGTACAGTAATTAACTGAAAAACATTTTCTTACAGGTCATTTAGTCGAGGATGGCTTCAAAGGTTGTCTTCAAAATTTGAATTTGAACAACCAGGACCTGCCCATGTCTGGCTCAAACAGTTACGTAGCTGCCGAACCATTTAATGCGGTACCTGGCTGTCAGTTATCAGGTGGATGCCGCATCAACACCTGTCCACGTGACAGCACATGCATAGAGACCCTGACATCGAAGAAGTGCGAGTGTCTGCCTGGTCATTCAGGTTCAGATTGCCGTGCATTTGTGGACTGTGGTGATAAGCCTTGTCAGAATGGTGGGACATGCGTCCCTCATCCAACAGACCGATACCAGTGTAGATGCAAAGACGGTTACTCAGGTACACAATGTCACATCTACACTGGTCATTGCGCCAGTGCGCCTTGCAGAAATGGCGGAAGCTGCATTCCAAGCGGCGAGAGTGGCTTTATTTGCACATGCCCAGCGGGAGTTCAAGGAAAGGCTTGCGAGCAAGACACAAGGCCCTGTTCGTCTAACCCATGCGCGAACAACGCGAATTGCACCAACCATGGTGAATCTTACAAATGTCATTGTCGCGCTGGCTTTTCTGGGGAGATTTGTGATGAAGGGTATCGCTGCAGTAAAGATTCCCATTGCCAAAACGGAGGGACATGCCAAGAAAACCAGAAGAATAGTGCTGCAGTCTGCCGTTGCCTTCAGGGTTATACGGGGGCTGATTGTTCTGAAGATGTTGACGAGTGTGCCAGTTCCCCTTGCAAAAATGGAGGCGTGTGTGTGAACCAATTGGGAAACTTTGCATGTAACTGTTCTGCAAGCTCTCATGGTGGAAAACTTTGTGAGCTAGTGCTCACTAGTATTGAGGCCCGACGCGGCTGGCCATTGGGACAGACAGAAATCATTGGAATTGCTGTAGTGCTCGCAGTTATTCTGCTCATTGTATTCCTTGTTGTAATTTTCCTTCGACGTCGAGCCAAACGAAGACGAGAAAAGCGTGAACAAGCTGGAGCTGTTAGCACGTCGGTTTTGAAGGTCTCCCCACCCGTGGTAGGCTCAGAAGTCACATCTCCAGAGCCTCCCACTCCTCCCCCAAGGGAAGTCCATGGTTACAATGTAGATGATCTCGGTATGCCTCCTGGGTACGATGCGGAGGACTCTTGGCGCAGGCGTGAGAAAGTTCGAAAGGATTTCGGGACCATGAAAACGTTGACTTCTTTATCTGATAACAATCTACCTGGCTACCAGTGGGACTACACGGACATCCCTGCTGACCTAGTTCCTAGGACTCCCTTGTCAAAAGAACATTCAGGTAGCTATAGTGGTTCCCCGGACTGTGCAACGTTTGCTCCGGAAGTACCACAGAGGCCGTCAAGTTTTAGATCTTCACAGGGTTCTCTTGATGTGCCGGAGGTTCCTAAGAGGCCAAGGAATTATAGAGTATCAGAATCAGAGGACGGATACACAGACGTCCCGCATGTTCCTAAAAAGCCCATGGAATACACAAATCCTAAGGGTAAATCAGCCTCACGGTACTCCATGGACTCCCGCTTCTCTGAATTCTCAGATGCCACAGATCTTGATCCAGACATCTTTAAAGGGCGATTCCCACGCCCTCCAAGAGAGCCTTATCCAGAAAGTCTGGACCAACTTCCCGTGGGATCATACGCGCCAACACTTACAGCGCGGGGCTCGGAGCTGGGAAGTGTCACGGACGGAATGTACTCGGAGGACGATCTGGAGCAGGTTTATCTTGGGAATCGAATGGAGGTGTGCGATGATTCACCGGAGAATTCCTACCTGCACTCCGAGAATTGCTCAGAAGATGAAGATGATGATTACCATCGTGACAGATACGCCCGCGCGGCTACACCCGACCCAGAGTTCCACAAAGAATTACAAAGAGAGATCAAGGAGATGATGAACGAGCTAGAAGAGCTAAAGTTAGAATCTGAAATCTGACAGACTAAAAACTAATATTTGATTATCGTAGTTGATGAACCTCTGTCTTGGAAGTTTTAAAAAGAAGTAGAGTAACTTATGAGACAAAGGGGACCCAGTGTCTCTTGAGTTCAAATTTCTCATCCTTATCCAGCTCTACTCATTTGGTATAAGCCACTTGTATTCTCTTAAAATCTGTGTTATGCAAACCCTTGTTTTATTTTGATCATTAAGACAATAATTCATTTTCCGGAAGCTCTTTGTTCCAACTTTTTTTTGATAAAAGACATTGGAAACCTTTCATTTCTCTACAAAGCTAGTATTTACAGTATAAAGCTAAAGAAAATTGCATTGACATTTAGAAATTGAAGATTTTATTAGAGGTTAAGGTTTAAGAATCTGTTGACATAGACTTGCAAAGTTTGAAATATGTTGGATAACAATGTCGGTTTTAAAAGTTTCTTGCGAAGAGACAGAATTTATAGTCCGCTTTACCTTGAGGCTGACAAGATTATTCAAATTTACATCAAATGATTAGACCTTTTATTTTGAATTTCATAGAAATGCTCTTTTGAAGGCGTTAAATTATATTTTGATAATTTTTTACAGTTTTTTTAATCGAAATTTTTAGATTTGCATATGTTTCGCCGGGCGATTTTTTTCGATCATGTTTAAAATATTTAAAATCTTTTACTATACAAACGATTAGGCATGTTTCCGAGATTATAACTTGTAAAATGTTATTTATCAGATTGTAAGTAATCGAAGAGCAAACTAGGTAAGAAACAATCTGTGAGTCTGCCACAAGATGTAATTTATTTTTATATGCTCTTCTTACTGACAGCTATTGACTTGGAGTCAAATTAGTATCTTTCATAAAGAAATTTTTACTCTTTTTAAGTCTTTAAGCTTTGTAATAAACTTTTCAAAATACTGGCTCGAGTTCGTTAGTGTTGGACTCTCCCTCCCTCCCCAATCCTTCACCTTGTCGAGAAAAGATGATGGAGCGCATTTCATTTACCAATAAGTGTCGTAAGACCAAACGAAGTAATAATGACCAATCGGACTGAAGGAAAATGTATCAAGCAGTCAATGAGAATTAAACGTAGAAACGAGCAAACTGCTCGAATTGCGGGAAAAACGCAAATTACCAGATCGCGATTGGTTTTGGTTTTGCATTTGATTGGTGGAGAGGCGCGAATCTATTAGACCAATCACAGACCGCTGTGAAGGGAAACCAGTGCAATCCTGGATTTCATTTGACAGTCAATTGAAATGTTCTGGTTTCTAACAACAAAATAATTCGACGAAAAATGCGGGTAGGATGCTAATAAAGGAGGACTTTGAAAGGAGACAAAATATTCAAACAAGAGACAACTATAAGACTTATACCTTAACATAACAGAGGCTGTTGACAACGAAGCTTTCATCTCATCTTTTCTCTGATCACATGGCTAAGGTTGCTTGAAAGTCCCAGTCGTAAAGGGTTTTCTTATATCAAACTAGAACTGCAATTAAACCTGACCTGTTGCCATTCGTCAACTGTTACTGAGTTTAAGCTCCCATTCCACCGTCGCTTGTCCACCAGCCAAGGCGCCTTGTTTCTCTTTGACCCACTCATCCGTGGTATTTCTCAATTACTTCAGCTTATAATGTTATTCTCTTTAAATGTAATCAGTTGTAGGGAGATCCCTTGTTAAAACAACTTTCTAGAGCTCCGCAGAATGTAGCGAACGATATTAGGTGAGATTGACCTGTTGTGATTACTGAGAGGAGACTGGTACTATATACCACAATTCCTTGCGCAGGGGGGAGCTTGGAATGTTTCGATCTTGTCGGTCAACTCTGACGTTTTAAGTCTTGAAATTCTTCTCGATCGGGTGACCGCTTGAATATTCTAACGGCAAGATGGGTGATAAGCATTTTGGCTCACACTTGAAGACCAGCGAGAAGGTTTGTTGCGCCACCCAATTTGTTTTGATGCTAGTAAGAATGTCATGAAAAGAGTGAAAAAGTTGCCAAAAATTTACGCATATATGTGTTGTGTTCGAGTCGTCGAAAATGATCGCTTTTTTCAAGTGTTTAATTTCGTTCTGGAAAGCATAATATTCTAAATCGCAGCATGTGAACAATGTGTCTCAGTTAGTACTGTTTTGCGTGGATTGATGTTAAAATTCCTTGACTGAATTAAAACTAACTCCTCCATGATCTCTAAATCGAATAAAGATCTAATGAGTTCATAAATTTTAAACAATTTTATTGTCCTTCATTCAAAACAAGAATTTGAGAATAACTCAAATGAATCGATCTCTATAATAAGCTATTTTTGCACATTGTATGTCTTTTCACAGATTTTAAATTGATTGCAGTTATGATCGTGGCTTTATCTTGTTCATTACAATACACGGCCCAAATGAGACCTTATTTTTGTAGCAGGAAGTACAAGGTTAACATCACCTGTAATATATGTACCTGTAGAGGAACTACTAGGGATTAGAGTGTTTCATTCAGTTATTTATTCGCACTAAAAAAATACATGGGCAAGGCTACTATATTCTATGACGTAACACCTCCATACCCTACATTACAAGATCCACAAACTGTACCTTTTCTTATTTTCTATTTTCATATGCAAAAAAATCCCTCTTAATGCCAGAGGGATTTTTTTGCATATGTACCTGTATATTCTTTGCATATACTATATGCTGAATAGGTGACAGTTGGCAACTGGAATCATAACTCTGTATTATTAATTAGTTGTTTCTTCTTGTGGCATGCATTTTCCTCAGGTGTTGAAATCAGTGGTGAAACTGTTTGTTCAGATTTCAACTCCAAACTATAGCATGCCCTGGCAGATGAAGCGGCAGCAGCAGGTTTTTGGATCAGGGTTTGTGATTTCCGGCAGGAGAATTCTCACCAATGGACATGTAGTAGCTTACCAGAAGTCAGTAAGTAAACAAATACATTAAATTACTTTTGTTCTGAAAATTTAAACTTCCAATGAAAGTAGGGAATGTCTTATCAGGAGTGAGGCACTGCAGCAACTCTGTAGTCTCGTGGCTCTGACCTTCATGACCAATTCTGGTTCTTTGCTGAGTGGAAAGGAAGCATTTCGGGATTCTTTTGTATCCCTGGTCTTCAGCATTCATGTTACAACAGCTTATTTAATTTTTAACAGTTAGCTTCCTTTATTTTTCAGGTGCGAGTTCGTAAGCATGGAGATGCTAAGAAATACAATGCTCATGTGATTCATGTTGGCCATGAGTGTGACATTGCCATGGTAACTATTTGAAACTACTTTTAGATCTTCCGATATAAACTATAGAACTTCAAGTAATGACATGGGACGTGTAAGTAGACATATCACAAGGCATTAAAACTGTTTCATTGTAAACAGTCCATTCAATCTTTTATTTTCTTAAAGCTGGGTGTAACAGATGAAACCTTCTGGGAGGATCTGTGCCCCCTGGAATTTGGTGAGATACCTGCACTTGAAGAAGATGTGGTTTGTGTTGGTTTTCCAACTGGTGGAGATAATATTAGTGTCACGCGAGGAGTTGTCTCTAGAGTGGAAATTCAGCGTTATGCACACTCTGCAGTGGAACTTTTGGCTATACAGGTTAGAACTGTGTATATTAAGTGTTGATTATGTGATGGGGTATAAATGTGTTTGCCTCTCCATGATTTTTGAACTATTTAATAAGCCTTTAGTCCCAGTAATCTTGCTCAGTTCCTTCCAGAAGTTTGAAAATTGAAGAATTTAAGAATTCAACTTAATTATCTCAACGATCAGTCAGTGGGCCTCTCTATATGTGACCATCATTTAACCTTTAGACATTTCATAAGGCCCCCTAGACTTTATAGTATTAGAAAATTAATATTTAAATAAGATCCTCTTATTTCTGATGCAAGAGTTATCTAATGTTGTTTGTTACTATGGACAGATTGATGCAGCAATAAACAGTGGTAACAGTGGTGGGCCTGCCCTTCAGGATGACAGAGTGATTGGAATTGCTTTTGAGACACTGGATAATGCTGAAAACATTGGATATATTATACCTGTAAGTCATTCATACTATCTAATTTACTCAAATTACTTTGTTCCTTGTGGTGAATAGAATGTGTAAAGAACATGTTGCATTTAAAACTCAATTTATGACAAATAACAACTTTTCAGGTAACAGTAATAAAACATTTCCTGGGAGATATTGAGAAAAGCAACACATACAATGGTTTCTGTCGACTGGGAATCAAATGGCAGCCAATTGAAAGTGAACACATGCGGAATTACTTTCAGCTGTCAGCAGAACAGACAGGGGTCCTTGTTACAAAAGTCCTTCCTTTGTTCAGCTGCAGCAGTGTGCTGAAACGAGGAGATGTCCTTATGGCAGTGAATGACGAAGTGATTGCAGACAATGGAACAGTGAGTAAATTGTCATAACTTATGAGATTCTTTTATTGAGATCCTGTAATAATCAACAATGTATTGCCCAAAACACAAGATAAGTGTATAGAAGAGAAAACCAGCACCATGTAGGCCTGTCGTGGAACACATTTGCCAGCCTCTTGACAGGATTTTAATATCTTGAGGGTTTATAGTTTATGGATATTATGAGGCCCAGAATCAATCCAAGTTGAAAGCAATTGTGGTTAAATTCAACCCTACATGGCCAATGCAAGCAATAAGGGTTTATGCTTCTATTTATTAATTTTTATTTTCCTCTCCTAAAGCCAGTGGACCAAGGCTATAACATAGAAGGTTTATTTTGATTTGATCCTTCATATTCAAGATCTGATTATGAATTCTCCTTTTAATGTGCTACACAATTCCTTGTCAATTAGTTGGAAGAATTTGGTGGTACATTACTTATCACAATACTACCCACTATCTGCTTAATTCATTCATCCTCACCATCTGTTAGCTTAATACAACATTCATAATCTAAAGAGAAGTTATTGTAAATCCCTTGGGTGGGTTCTGCTGAGTCAGATATATCCATGTTTTCATGTGCTACCAGCATTAGGCCTTGTTATGACCTAAACATCAATTTTGAAATAACTGAAATAAAATCTCCTCTGTTTGTTAGTTTTTATCTCACAGCAACACCTGGGTGTTTTTTATCAGTTGGGCTAATCACGTTTTTGTGTGGTGTTGTTTTTGTTTAGGTTCATTTTCGCGGTAATGAGCGTATTCTGTTTGACTACAAATTGTCACAGATGTTTATTGGTGATATCTGCAAACTGAAAATTCTAAGACAAGGCCAAGTGTTGAAGGTTGAAGTGACATTAGATCTCATCACATCACTTGTACCCACCCAGCTGTATGACAAAAGACCAAGGTAATAAATAGGAATTCCAGCTTTCCTTACAAGCTTAACTTATCTTTCTGTGTCAGGGTACATTGAAATCGCCCGGTGATAAGTTCACTGAACTCTGTATTTAGGCCTGGGTTTGAGCCCTGACTGAGACGTTCTGTTGTGTTCTTGGTCAAGACACTTTCCTCTAACAGCGCCTCTCTCAAGCGGGAGTATAAATGAGTACTGGAGAACTGGTTTCGCTATTAAACTCTCACTATCATTTCTGCCCGTAGTTACCTCGTGTACGCTGGCCTCGTGTTTGTGTCTCTCTCCCAGCCCTACATGCAACATCAGTACGGAAAAGACTGGGCACGAAAGGCACCCATAAGGCTCTGTGATCGTGTTCTATACGGTATTTTGAATCAAACGGGACAGGAAGTCATTTTGCTCAGTCAGGTAAGTAAAGAGGTAACTTTATTTTACTGAAACAGGGAGGTCACTTGATTTTCACGCCTTTTTGGCTTGAAAGACGACGTCATGGAACCCAGAGCGTTTTTTTTTAAGGGTCAGTTAGGACGCAGATCTCTAAATCCGTGAAGATCTTTATGTTTTGGTTTTGTATGAAACTGATGAAAGAAGGCGCTCCTTTTAAATGAGTATCGTAAATCCAGAATCAAAGAAATTACAACGGTGAATAAGAATAAGAAGAACGAGAATAGGGAGCCAGGTAGGACTCTAACTTTAATCAAGGAAACTGCCTGAGGCGCGGTAGAACTCAAGAGACCAATTTTTCGATTGGGTCGAGTTTTGCATCTTCTTGGTAAGGAGGGTGGCGCAACCTCGACAGTTTATTGAACATCAAATCAAAGTTTTGGAAATAGAATGGGAACTTCAAGCTCTAATTCAGTTAGATAATTCAATCCGAGCACAGAATTTATCGCACTCTGTCATTTGTTTTCTCCATATTTGAGTCCTCCCACCACTGAGCTACATGAAAAAAGTGCTTGCCCTCATACTGTTTATTTTATGATTATTTTCAGGTTCTCGCATCGGAGCTAACAACAGGCTACGAGACAATGGCAAATTTGCAGCTTTTTAAAGTTAACGGGAGACCAATTTTGAATCTAAAGCATCTTGCATCCGTTCTTGATGAAATCACAATACCTTTCGGCAAACCAGAAGACTCACAAGCGAAAGGTGGAACAACGGCCAGAACTGTGACATCAGAAAGTTGTGTGGAGGACAACAGTAGCACAAAACAAGGCGAATTAACTGCTAAGAGTTGTGAAGTACACAAACGCCAAGATGACAACATAATCCCTTTAAAAGAAGTCACAACTATTGATGATACGGATGGTCGATCATGCGCCAAGCTTAAAACACTAGAGGACGTAAAGAAAGATTGGGAGAGGGGAAATAACGTGTGTGAAAGTGACAGCCACCCTTTGTCACATTACCGGAAAACATCCAATGAATGCAGAAAACAAGATTTCACTCAGACTGATTCACGTTCTTCAGACTCCTTGTATTTATCGACGACACAAACGACCGATATGAATTCTGGTGTGGGTGACGATCCTACCCTTCTAAACAGAGAAGATTTCGTGCATTTTGAGCTCGATAAGGAGAAAATAATTGTGTTACATATTCCAACTGCTTATAACGCTGCACCAGAAATACTACAACAATACGCAATAGGTCAGCCTCGATCCAATGACTTACCTTCACCTCCCTAATGTCACGTGTTGAACACGTGAATATGAAAGGTCACGAACTCTACTACACTACAGCCTCTTCCGCGATGTAAAGCACTTACAGAATTCAGCCCCTCCAATAAAATGTAACCTAATCTTGGTTACCCGACTAGAGTGTTTGTCTGGTACTATAAAAGGAAAGTCGAAAATCTTTCTTAAGTCGTACCTGATTTTGAAGCCTTGAAAACTTTCTAGAATTTAATTTTTTAGAAGAACGGCTAATGGTACCTGAGTTAAAAAATAAGTGTGGTGAGTGCAGTGGTTGATCATTGGCCAGTTACATCGTCAAATTGATATAGATGTAAGAACTTGAAGGAGGAGCAAGCTTTGTGCGGCAAAGCATCTCAAAATTTCAAGACATAGAGACAAAAAAATCCGTTGTAACATTTTGTGTCGTCTTCTTTGGAAAGTTTGAAACAAACATCGGTTTACACACAACTTATTACTGAGTACGGAGCTGGTTCTCCAATTTAAATATAAAACAAGAGAAACATTACTCCCGAACTTTGGCGGTCATGCCTTAGAGGGCAAGACTCGTTTTTATAATTACTCCTTACTTTGCCGTAGAGAACGGAGAAGGAAAACTTTTTATAAAAGAAAATGCAACGTAACGCAAGTGACGGTTTAAATCTCTACTACGTAATTGGAGGGAAATTGGTGAGAGCGGAATGTATCAATGTAACAAGATAAAAAAAAGTTGGTGTTAATATGTACAACTATGAATAAGATGTTTATTTTATGCCTTAAAATTGTTCAGTAGAGCGTTTTACCAGTAACACCCTGCTTTGTACACTTGGTATGAACTTGGTGATAGTGAGAGTAAGTGACTTTCATCTTTTTATCTGTAATCAGTTCCACTGGTGTTTTTATCACCCGGTGTGATAGGTGAAGTTGAGTGAAATAATGGGCTCCGTTTGATCAAAGAGACCTGAAGAACATTTGTTAATTGTATTTGTACATCGACGCCCAGAGTTTGGATTGAAAATTGGCTGTTTTACTTTGAATCAGTGAAGAGACTTTCCAGCGAAGCTCATCCTGCATGTAGTTTTCGTGCAATCATTTGAAGAGTAGACTAATTCACTTAGAAAGAAGACAAGCTGTTCAAGTTCACTGTCCGAAATGGCGCGAGACATAATATCCGAGTTTGTCTTCATAGCTGAGTCAAAACATGTCGCTTGCCAAATAGTGGTGATATATTTCTCGTGGCGTGAGGCTGAAACTCACCATACTCTCGTTCCTGGCTTCGTAGACTCCCGCGAAAAGCCGGGAACGACAGAAATCACTGACCCTAGAACGCAATATCTGGTCTTAAATGAAGAACCATCCTTGTGCCTCGGATCACGCGGCAAGGGCGTCATACTCACCGTGGATGAAGTTGCAGGTCGGTACGCATGCGCTCCGTCTGAGAAGAGGGGGATGAAAAATCATTTTCGGTTCGAGTCTTTCCATGAGATGAAAGTTTAAAGCTAGCGGCTAAAGTCAATCATTCATCAAAAGAAAAACTGTACGTGAAGCAAAAAGGAGAGACAACCAAATGAGGAATGTAGATTCTAATTCAGCAACATACCATGTTAATCAACCTTGTTAGAGGAAGTTAAACCCCACTGATGCTGTAGTATAAGGAATGATATACCTTGTGCTTTGTGTCCCTTGATAGTTAAGGGATTCTTTTCTTCGGCTGTTCTACTTCATGTTTGACACAAATAAAGTTACTTACTTCCTTACTGCCAGCCTAATTTTACCACGAGAGAGTGAATATAAATATCTTAGTTAAGCACAACGATAACTGTGTGGTTGTTCTATGAACGCATGTATGAAACTTTAAAAGCTAACCTATTTTCTAATCATTGAGACGGTAAAAGTTTCCTGTAATACTCTAAAACAAAATAAATAGGCTTCCGTCCCACCCTAAGCAAACTGAACTGGACGAAAATAAGCTTACGATAAGGTTCGGTAACATTCCTGCGCGGAAGGTAACCTCCCCAGACCTTTTGAAACTTTTGTATAAATATAACTAAAGCAATTGTTCATCATTTTATACAATACATTTACTTCTCGGAGCACCCAATGTCTTGTACAGTATCGAACTCTTGGCTCTTTACTTCTCTCTCTTCGTGTATTTGTTTTCAAAAGGTGTGTTCGGTTGTGTTTCTTCTTTCCTCTCCATTTAGATTCACGACCTAACGTGGAGTTTAAACTTGTTTCTTATTTCTCCCCGCCCCCGCCATAAATCACGTTCTAATTGCATGTTTAGACGTATAGTTTGTAGGTAATGGTTCCAGACGGTTGGATCGTGGGGAGGAGAAATTTCTCTCCATACCACCCTCCACCGGTGACCTTTCCACAACCACTTCCACTTTTCCGTTGTCAGCGGTATTCTTTTCAAGTCTTTTTCCACTGGCGGTCATGTGAACTTCAGTGGAGTTAGATGATGAAGTATGTTCACTTTCAGCCCCGCGGCTTCTGTATGACGAAAAAGATTCTGCCAGCTTGTTACCAGGCCCTTTGCGCATACCTGCCTTAGCAAGAATGTTGGTCACGTGATACTTTTCCTGTGAAAATTGAGTAGAAAATTTAGTCATTATACAAAATGATTGTCAACGTAGAACTTTTTTTCACAAAGCACACCGAAGAAGCGAAGTAGAAGTTAGAGGCAATGAAGTAACCCTATGTCGCGGTTTTCACCCCCAGAAAATTTAACCCGATTTTTCAAATTCACAAATTTCACTAATGCAAATATTATTTCTTCTTTTCCATTCCTAGGCATCATTCTTTGTGGGTTGTTCTCATCTGATTGGTGCCCATCTCCTTTAAAAACCCATTTCTTGAGGGTTTCACACTAATATCATAAAAATCAAAACTTTGAGACACAACTATGTCACTATAAAGCTATTACCTTTGACAGAGCCATCTTAACATCGGCAGGTACGTCGGGTATAATGTAGGCAATCAGGAACTTAATTGTAAACACTATATGCTGAAAAGAGAATTAAATTATTCAAGTGAGAATTTTCAACACACCTAAGCCTTGTAGTTTAAGCGTATCAGTACCTTGCTCCAACTAACTCCGGTACCAAAAAAAGAAGAGAGATGATAGTCGTACCTCAAATCCAATTATAAGCCAAAGCCTGCTTAGTCCTGTAACATGTTCAGTGACGATGATAACCTGTTCGGTTGTGTTTGTTGTGCTGTTGAATATGGTTTCAGTTGTGTTGGTCTTGGACGGCTCGCCTTCCCATGATCGACCGTACGATGACGTAAATGCCACCAAGAACGAGTTGGTAACCACGCCAGCCACGTTCAGAAATTCTAGAATGCTGTACCACGTGCCTTGTGAAGAGACAAAAGGAAATGTTGCAGAGAATTCACAGGTCCTAAAATAAGCGATTTGCTTTCAGAACTATATGAACTATAAGCTGAAACCAATACTCGTAACCGGTGTAAAGCAAATGGAAACTATCAGTACGAACTAGTCATGGCACGGAAAAAAAAAACAAAAAAAACAAGCCAAAGAATGTGTAACTAGTGGAGAGCACAGAAAACGGAAAGGTATAAAACCAGTCAGGAAGATTGCTATTATACTAACCTATGTCTTCTGCCCTGAAAGCTACTGGCCGCCTGTTCGTCCATAGCAACCTCCTGGCGTCCACTTTCATGTCGATGGCATTGGTCAACAGTGCAATCAGTGGGGCCAGCGGAAACGCTGCTGCAAAAAGCTGAAAGGATGACGCAGTTGAAATTAATATCTACACAAACAAAAAATTTAAAAACTTTAGCTGATATTTCACAAAGGAGTCTTGATCCTTACCATGAGGAATCCGTACTGTAGCACTGTGAAGATAAAAGCAACGATAATTACCGTGAGAAAACTGAATTCGATAAATAGAATAAGGTGGTTCAATAGGATAAATGTTGATATTTGTTACTTTAAAACTATTCAGTGAGTACGTATAGGAAATGTGCCATGGTTTCTTAGTGAATATGAAACCAACTCACTTGCAAATAATTCTATGGCAGTACATAAAACACAACAGAGTTCTAGACTAGACGTACCTTTCTCGTTGTATTCAGACAGTGTAAAATCTCCAAGTTCAGCTTTATTTCTTTCCCTCTCCAAGTAATCTTCTACACTGACTGTGATTTCACCGCTTACTGAAACCCTGTTGCTACAGCATTTTCTCCTCCAAAGGCTCACCAACCAACTACAGAGGCAAAGTTAGCAGGTTACCAGCAGTTTGACATTGAGGACGTCGAAAGTATTCTGGGATTACAAGGGTTTTATTCTATCTCGCTCTACGGTTTGGTCTCTAAAATTTCACTAAATTAATCAGATGCAAAATTAAAACCAATCGCGACTTGGTCACTCGCGTTTTCATCGACTTCTCAACAACAAAGATGTTCAGTATACATACAAATTTTAGCAATGATCATACTCACGGTTTAATGACATCACTGAGGAGTTTGGGAAGAGGTTTCATGATCATTAACATGGCGACTTGTAGCGATAAAAGACTCATACAGTCGTTGTTTTCTCCGCACTCGTCACTGTAGTTTTCCCCTTTACCAATCACGCCACTTTCCTTGGTACCCTGGGTAAACAATTGATGACATAAGAAAGATTAAGGGTGGCCCTTTACGTTAGTAAAGGAACGAATAATGACATGTGGTGTTTAAGTTCCATTCAAAGCTGTACCTGACGAAAGAAAGCTATGTAGAACAACGATGTGTATGAATTCACGAACTGAAATCCAAACAACTTTAAGATAAGCGCATCTTCATATGAAGTCTGAGTCCGGTGATTTTCTATAAAGAAAAGAAACAGAGAAGTTTTATTTACAGAATCACAAAGTTACGGTCGAATTTGAAGAATTCATTCGTATTAACTGAAATCAGACTCACCCCAGTCCGTAAGGTAGACTGCTAACTTCTGATAAATCTGAAATAAACACGAAGAAGATTTTGCTATTACCACTCACCCTTACCATGCAACACGTGCACTCAGCTACAAAACTGTAGGAAATTAAACAGATAATTTATCTGTAATATACAAACCTTGCCCATGATCATGATAGAAACAGTATTGAGGAATGTTGAGGTAACGCTTGCTATCAGCT